AAACAAGATCAAAAAGACTTTTTTTGGCTGATATAAGGTTTTAAAACTTGGTTAGATGGACAGTTTTTGCAGTGTAGTGCCTTTTGTGTATGTTTTTGTGTTGTTTTAAATTTTAAATTGATATTTTATATATTTTTGTCTACTCAAGTTATAAAAAAAACTGCAATTGCAATAAAATATGAAATAAAATCCCAGTGTTCAATCACACAGAAACCCACACACACACTTTTTCTGGGCCACAAGAGTGGAGGAAGAGGAAGTGGGTTCAACTAACCCAGACATTGTACCACAAATCTCTTTCCTGTGGGCTTGGTTGCTTTTTCAACAAAACACACACAAAAGTGCACATGAACACATTACTTGAGAAAATTTAAAGAAGCTGGGTATTTCAGGCTTCTGCTTTCAGGTAATAATGTTTTGTTTGGTTTAGGGTTTTTAGGGAGGATCATTTTAGATATGTAGAAACCTGTGTTGTTATGGTTGAGCACATATCTGTTCGGTTAATTTTAGGTAAAGTTTTATAGTTGGGCATGTATCTGTGTTGTTAATTTTAGGTAAGAAGTTAGGGTTAGTCTGGCATATTCCAGTGAGTGTATGCATACTGTTTCAGTAAAACTAAGCTAGTACATGGAGTGCTTGCTTTACAGTATGTTGTGCTTCGTAGAGATGGAGAAAAGTTCAAAGAAGGGAGGAATAGGCTGAGAAGGGTGAGCGTTAGGGGGAGGGGTCAGGAATGGTTGGGAGTGTGGTCTGGTAGATGTATCTGGGATTTTACAGTGGTGTTAATCTAATCAAAAGAAATATTTAARGAAATCTATAGATTTAATATTTACTTAAGACTGTTTACAGTTCACTGAGATTAGTGTTACTATAGCCTTAACATAGTGTTGGTCTATCAGCTGGGGGACTGGTCTAAATGTGGTTGTGTCCTCTTGCCTGTTGATGGYGCAGTTACACARCATCCATTTTAGGTTGAATCATAYCYTCAAGAATAAAGGTCGTWTTTTGTTTTAAATTGTATTGTTCTTGTCTACTTTAAGCAGTTTCCATAGCAATGGAATTGGTGCAGCTCGCTTCTTCTGATTTTTGGAAGTTTATTTGRATTCCTTTAAGGTTACTCTCTTGGAAGCTTAGTTTTKTTGCACAGTTAGTACAGGAACAGTGGGCTGTCTCAGTAATAACTAGTTTCTAGTACTTATTTAGTGCTAAAAAGATAATTTCAGGACTTAATCTTCAGTGGTGTCCACTGGGTCAATGAGCATTTCGGCTATTTAGACTAATGCTGCGTTCACACCGAACGCGATTTCAGCTTCAATATCGCAGCCAACGCTTCAAGTTTGAAGCTTGTGCACTTTGAGGTCAGACAGGTCAGCTCTTGAAGCGCTGCACGGCAAGAGCCTCCCCGCCCCTCCCTCCTCTGTCGGGCTCTGTTTATTGTCGGACGAGGAAGTGGCTTTGCTTTATTTACAGAGAACAAGAGCATGTCATGTTCATCAGATAATTAATTCATAATTCATTCACCAGACAATTCAGAGACATTCTGAGTTTCATCACCCAGGAGCTGCGGGAGAGGCTCACAGCTCGCTTTCAGGACTATTGTTGTCCCGAGTCCAG